TGGGGAATTCTGGGAGTTGAAGTCCACCCGTCTTAAAGTGGCCAAGGTTGAGAAACACTGGTTTAGAGGAACTTTGGAGCAGCTACTGCTCTCATCCAGCAGGACCTCCTGCTCTGTGCAGTGATCTCACTCCACCAAACGATAGAGCTGGCCCAATGAGCTGATAGCAGAAGATTGACGGGAGAGGAACATTTCATCTACTGTATTCTGTTTCCCAAGACTACATCACCACCATCTAAGCTTGCTTCCAGTTTGGAAATAACTATTTAAAATGGCCTGAACTGTGTTTATGCAGGGGAGAATGAAAGAGCAGCTGATTTTAAGATGTCTTTATTTTCCCTACATGTTTTCCTTCAAGTGTGAAGTTATACCCTGAGATTTTGCAGTAAAATACATACTGAAAATTAGAAGATTTGTGTATTTTTATGACACTTTTTAAACAAGTATTGTGTTCCAAAGGGGCTCACGTTGATGAATGTCAGACAGGCCCTGTCTCGGTATTCTGGTTTGTAGTTGAAAAAGAAAAAGAAAAGGTCAAGATTCAGAAAAGTGGAATAAAGAGGAAAAGGCAAAAGGAGAAGAGATTATTGCTTCAAGATCAGGATGAAGTGTTCCCAGGCCAATCTTCCTTTCTTGATGTTCCTGACTGAATAAAAATTAATAGCCCAGCCTAATGGAGGCAAGAATCAGTAGAAGCTGGATGTTCTACCTGGCAGAGTAGGATAAAGCTCCCTTTAGATGTTTCTGCTCTGGTCAATATATAAAGTCACAGTATTCTTTCATGAAAGCCTTTTTTCCTGCCTCTCACTGATCCCTTAATTGACAAATGTAACGAGAATGTGCTGGCCTTCAGCTCTCCAATCAAGTATGAATTAATTAATTCCAAGAAAGGTGGAAATGAAATGGTAAAAACTCACTGAGGTGTGGAGATGGTCTATATTTAATAATATGTTAAAGGATTGAGCTAGTCCTAAATGAATGTTATATGGATCTTTTTTCCTTTAGTTTTAGTTCATTACAATCACTATTAGATATTCTTCAGCTGAATTATCACTGTTGCATTATTGTATTTTTCTTCTGTTTATAAGATTTTGGTTGTTGTATTTTACCAAAAGAGATTTTTTAAAAAAATGAGTTGTGAGGAAACTAGGAAAAGCAAGGAACACTCCCTTTGAAGAAAGTCATACAAATTCAACCAACAAGTGTAAAATAACCTGGGCTGCAGATGTGAATTTCTCAGGAAAAGCCAGACTTTGGATACCTTTTGGACAACAGTGATGCCACCTGGATGGCCAATAAAGTATGGGTAAACATTTGTGTGACACGGTAAAACAATGGTCTGGTAAGGCTGATTATCACAGGATATACACTGAGCATGGAACATTTGAAATCACTGGGTTTCAGTGCAAAAGTATTTTCTGAAGGCTTTGTTTTATGAGTTACTACCTCCTTTTTCCCTGTGGGAAGATGTATGGCAGATATAGATTGCATCCAAAAGTTTTTAAATTAGTAAGTAAAGGGACAGACCTAGTTTCACCATTCCTTGGCTGCCTTTTATCATAAGGGCTGGGCAGGCAGCAAAATGCACGAGCTCTGTGGACCTGAAGAAGCTGTCAAGCAACAGAACTGAGCCACAGCATTCGGGTCGGGGAGTGAGATTTCCTCTGCAGGAAAATGTAGTTAAGATTTCTTGGCAAGAAGGCAGGTGTTTCTTTTGAGCTTCTTCTCCTCTCAGTGCTTCCCTTCCTCAAGAGAAAGGAAGGAGGGAACTGATGTCGGAGGAGGGGGGGACTCTCAGGCACGAGTGAAGTTAAAGGTTATAAACTAGCCAACCACATTTTAGCCTAAATGTGTTGCATGAGCCCTAACTCATGTGGTTATTTTTTTATTTATTTGGTGGCCTGTGTGAACCAGTTACATTGGGGTTACCTCCATAAACCATGGTTAAGTGGGCAAGATGTGGTTTGAACACAGCCTATTCAAACCTGATGCCCTGGAAGGGACCCAATAATTTAAGAGAGGCCATGCCCCCACTTGCAATTAAAGATGGCCCAAATATGCCTGACATCAACCTTTTCTCTGCCACTCATCGTATTGCCTTTAACTCACCCCAGTCCTTGAGTGAGACAAGCTTAAGTGCAATTTTTCCCCTTTTATTCCAATACTACTCAATAAATTATCTGTTACGTGTTGTGGCTTATCATCTTGGAAGGAATTCAAGGAAGAGAATTTGAGTCAAACTTTCTGCTGACTCAAGTAGAGGGAGCGAACACCTCAGTACAGCAGAGGGAAAGCCGTCAGGGTGACTCTCAATTCTCACAGTACATCAGAATTGGCATTCGCACCAGTGGCAACAATACCACTAGTCCACAGCAATCCTAATGGACAAAATGCATAGCCTCTGCACAATACATGCTTATCCTGATTATTGCACCAAAAAAACCCCCCCTACTTCCTAGATGTACTCAGTATATTGAACCCTGCATTAACCAAAAAGGCTGAATTCATACAAAAAATCCAGCCATTAAAAATATATATAAGTTTAATGTTGCAGAATTGCAGCTATTTACTTGGCCTGAATAAGCGTTTTGCACAACCTCAGCCTTATAATCACCGGCAAGCGCTCTTAAAAATTACGCATGCGCTGCAAGGGAGCGTGTGTTTTGATTTTTTTTTTAGAAAATTTAAAGAGCTAGGAAGGATGGTGGTAACGTTTTGTTCCCCACAAACGTGATTTGCAAGTCCCTTTTAATGACCTGCCCAGAAACGACCTCCCTCTAAAATAATACTAGAATATGCATGGCAATCTTTGGTCACCTAATGCGAAGAGAGATCTCTTTGGAGAAGACCCTGATGCTGGGAAAGATTGAAGGCAAAAGGAGAAGA